AAAACACACCACGGAATAACAGGATCACATAAGGTTGGAGAAAACCAGAATAAAATCTAAATGGAAGAACAATCAAAGAAACCAGAAAAGTAAATGAGAATTTTATGTGGACAAACCAGAGAATGGGAAATAAACATAGAGCCACACCACCAGAAAATTCCACTATGAAATTCAAAAAGTTTTTACAGAGAACTAACACCGATTTTCTCTCTACACACAAAGAAACTTACACGCTCCATAATTTTCGATATCCGATCCGACGCAAAAATCACGTTGTATTACCGAAATTCATCTCTTCGACTCTTCTCACATTCACCGGGATGCTTGTCGAAGAACGCCAAAGTACAAATTAAGCCGCTCAAAATTGGCATAAAACCAAAAAAACTGTGTACTAATTGCTACGGGCACTTAGGCACCCAGACTTGGCGACTAAACGTCGTCTTAAGGGAAAGAAAAAGAGTCACGCCCAGAAACTTAGGCGCATGAGCGCCTAAGACGGAGCTCGAGTGCTGACTTCGCAAGTAGTGCCTTGAAGAGCTTTTTGGTACATCGCTTTTCAAAAACCTAGCATATGGCAAAATAAGAACAAAAAAATGGGCCTTATACAACACTTTGCACCTCTTCATAATTATGGCCAATACACCCATCAAAATAATTTTCTCATTTATGTGAAAGTAGTATGCCATATAATGGAAGTGAGCAATGGAATATAAACTCGAAAAAATTACATCAATTTTGGAGTATCATTTTGATTTTGTTGAAAGACTTACTATATAAGTGATGCACTTAATCGAGGGCCATGAGAATTAATTTGATGCATTTTAAAAAAGAAATGTGTGTCAAAGATATGTTATCATTATCAAAGATATGCATGATAAAGCATTAAATAGTATTAGACGCAATTGTGAAGTGACCCAAGTGTTTCTAATTATCATAAGTTTATATCAGTGTCTTTTCATATTGGCTATAAAGATATTTACGAAATAAATTCAGATCAGAATATATTTTTATATGCCTATTGAAGATATGGTTTTAATTGGTGTGCCCTCCACTGAAATAATATATATAGAGAGAGCTTTTGAGGAAGTATATAGAAGATAGAGACCTTATAATTTAAAAAATAAAAGTTGAGTATATAATATATAATTTTATTTAGCATGATATTAATAGTTATTATTCTATTTTCTAGAAGATAAGGTGATACTTAGGAAAAATATTTTAAATTTATTAGATGAATTATATAGAATAATGGAGACATGGATGATGATATAACTTTTAGAGTTAAGGATTGATGATTAAAATCCAAAAGTGCCTCAATAGTTTAGTGTACTAAGAGAATATCATAGAGGCTTAAAAGTAAATATTATAAAATCACAATTAGGCTAACAATACCATATATGACATCTAAGTTGAATATGAAAAAGAAAGAGCATGATAAGATAGACAACATTATAATGGATAAATTAATGAATTAAATTTTAAAAAAATATAGGAGGGATATTTATTGAAGATAAAGTGATTAAAAGTAGATTAGATGGTTTGGATATATATAATGAAGGGTAGAAAATGAGCCAATTATACAACAACAATAACAAAAACAAGCCATTATCCCACTAAGTGGGGTCGGCCACATGAATCCTTTTTCTCAATTATGTTCTATTGAGTGTCATATTTTCATTTAATTCTAATAGATTAAGATCATTTTTTATACAATATGCCCCAGTCTTTTTAGATCTACCTCTGTCTTTCTTAACATAAGTCGAATCTAAAACATCTACTATTCTAACCAGATTATCAGATCGTCGATGTTTAACCTAAGATGACTCTATCTAATCATTTCTGTCACTAGAGCTATACCAACCCATTCACGGATAGATTCATTTTGAATTTGTCTCTAAGTGTCAAGCCACACATCCATCTAAGCATTCTCATCGCATTCTCATCTCAGCAACATCATCTCAGCAACACTTAACTTTATTTTATGCTTCTCTTTTAAAGGTCAACATTTTGCGTCATAAATAATTGCAAGTCTCACCACCATCTTCTAAATTTTTCTTTAAGTCTAAGATGTATTTTTCTATCACACAATAGGCCCAATGCATTCCTCCACTTCTACCAACCAATTGAATTCTACAAATAACATCCCCATCTATATCATCATCACTTTGAACAATAGACCCGAGATAACTAAAACGTTCACACCTTTTAATAATTTGATCACCCACATTTATAACTCTGCCACTAGAGCTACTACTACTAAAATTACATTCTATTTATTCAATTTTAGATCTACTCAAATGAAGACCTTTAGACTCTAATGTGCACCACCATAATTCAAGTTTTTCCCAAACTCTTTATATGGTCTTCTCCACAAGAAGGACATCAGCGAAAAGCAAACACCAAGGTACATCCTCCTGTAAATGTTCGGTAAGAGCATCCATAACTAAAGCAAAAAAGTATGGGCTTAAAGTTGATCTCTGATGTAATCCAACTGAAATAAGAAAATGCTTGGCCAATCCTCCTTTTGTTCAAATACAAGTAACAGCTCTAGTGTACATATATTTAATGAGTTGAATGTAAGTCATATCAACACCTTTCTTCTCTATAACTCTCCAAAAAACTCGAATCTTATCGCAACCTTTTTTTGAATCAATAAAAATCATATGTAGATCCTTCTTACTCTATCTGTACTTCTCCATCAACCCTTTCAATAAATATTAACTTCTATAGTAGACTTGTCCGACATAAATTCAAACTGATTATGAGAAATCTTTGTATCACGTTTTAAACCATATTCAATTACCCTCTCTCATAATTTAAAAGTATGACACATTAGCTTAATTTCTCTATAATTTGCATACTCTTGTGCATCCCATTTATTCTAAAAAATGAGAACCAAAATACTCTTCATCCACTCCTCAGACATCTTTTTAATTTTTATATAATATTAAAGAGTTTAGTAAGTCAAAAAACTCTCAAATCACCTAAATATTTTCACACTTCAATTGAGATATCACCAGGTCCTACAGATTTTCTACCATTTGTTTTCTTTAAACCCTCAACTTCTTTTTTACTAATATGATGGTAAAACAAAATGTTTTTTATTATTAATGATATTAAGATCACTAAGGTCGATATTATTTTCAGAAACTTCATTGAAAAGTCAATCAAAATAGCCCACTCATCTGTGTTGAATATTTTCATCTAAGAAAAGCACATTTGATTTTTATCTTTAATACACTTCAATTAAATCTTTACTTTTCTGTTCTCATTATTTGGCTACTTTATACATATATTTTTCACCCTCATTAATATGTTATAAGGATCACGAAAAGTAAAATTCTTAGCGCTCAAATTATTCTCTAAAACTCTCTACAGGTTACCTTATATTTTTTTCAATTTTCTAAGCTTTTACATTTAAGCCAATATTTATAGCACAACTTTTTATATTTTATCTTTTCTTGCACATTATTTTTCCACCACCAACTATTTTTATTTATAAAAACTTTACTATTTAATTCTCCAAATACATTTTTTGTCACTTGTTTAATAGTGTTTGTTACTTCTATTTTTCTAGTGTTTATTATTTATCTCATATAAAATTAGTTTTTTCATGAACATCCCAAATCTTAAAATCTTAAAGCTTACTCATTTGTGTCTTTTAGGTGCATACATCTAATTTTATAACAATGTTTCATTGTATTATTTATCTTACAACTCCTTATCTTAAAATCCAGAACTAATGATCAATGAAAACTATTGTCACATAATTCAAATAAAAAAAGAGTTAATAATTAAGATTAAATGTTAAAAATGATATGTGAAGGAGAATTTTAAAATCTCTAATGACACTCATTATCAACAAATGTAAAATTGAGAATAAATAATGTCAACGACAAACTACTGATTGAAACTAATGATGAAGATGACAAACTATAACATCATAATCAACATGTATAGTAAATTACTATCCCTATTTGGTATGGGACATACTAGTTCATCCATTTCTTCCTACAAATGGATTAGTGAATTGTTTTATAATTGAAATAGATAAAGAAAAGCATTAATGGTATCATGATACCCTTAAAAATAATCAACTTAATAGCATTATCACAAAACATATTCACCTCAACCATGTCATATATCCACCGTTATCCCTATTATATTCCTAATACTTAATTTTCTATATAAAACAATAGCTTATTTAGATTTCTAACACATTTTAAGTTCTTTTTCCTTTTGACTAGGTTTCTAGTAAAAATCCAAACTTTATTTCACCAACTATTAGCCTTCTTGTTCAAAGGCTTGAAATATCATTTAGCAAATCTAGAATTTTGTTTAGAACAGTCCTTGTCCACTTGTCCACTTTCCACAACAATTAAGTTGTAATGCGTACCGCAACCAACCTTGACCTATATGGCATCACAATTAAATTAAACTATAAGCATCACTAATGGGTGATATTTTTACAACTTCTTGTCCTCTTCTCCCCACAATTGAGCCGTTCATCTTGCCTACTTTTTTGGGATTTTAGCTAACGCTACCCAGCAAAGCCTGCATTCTCTTAAAGAAATTGGGTAAAGGTTTTATGATTTGGGGAACTCTCTTTGTCACTAATAGCTCTCCCCCGAACCACCCAAAATGATCACATGACCATATCATCTATTCCTTCCCCCGGATATAAGCACTGATTTGTTTTCGTAGAAGCCCACTTTAGAAACCCAAAAATCATTCCCATACATGCCCAACGACCATCTCTCCACCGCAATAATCTATTTCTCAAAAATGCCCTACATAAAAGATTTCAGCAGGAAACACAGCAGGAAACCAAAGATCCTTATGAGTGTTTCTCCACAAATCTTCATCGCTCAACTGACCCCTACAACGTAGAAAACATTGAAACCATAATTTTGAAGTTTTTCAGGCAGACACGTTGGAACAACAGGAAAAACTGCCTCAATGCATTTTGCCGTAATTTCAAGGGGTTTGAGAAAGTCTACCTGAATAATCCCAGAAAACGACTGGCTCCATCCACGCACCTTCGAGAGGGGAACAATCGCCACGGACATCACCACCCGATCGGCATTGCAGAGTGCCAAAGCCAACCCCAACATCGCAACCACCTTAACCCTCTCAGAGGTGACGAATTCCAACAAGGTTGGGCTATGCAGCTCTTTATCAGGCAAGAATGAGCCAGAGGCGCTGTTTCTCGAGATCCCCAGTCGAACTTTTTTTCGAACCTGACTTTGCGGAAACACCCATTGAAGGGACCCATGTGAACTTCCTGTTCCGACAGCGACCTGGGAGAAGCGAGGCGGAAAACCATGGCTGGTGATGAACCTAGAGGACACTCGGCGAGTGTGTTCTCGAGATATTGGAGGAAGGGAAGGATGAATAACTCGATCGAGGGAGTGCCGGAGAAGACTCATAGCTGCGGCGAGTCGGCGACTCTGAAGCCACTTGAGTCCGGACTCCTTAGATCGAGAAAGCGGACCCCAAACGCTAACGGGCGTCGGCAGCCACCTCATTTCTTTATAAGATTAATTTAACAATTATATGTTTTAAATTTTGCATGTGTTATTTTTTTAAATTAAAAAAAAGGAAAAGACTTGAGATCTAAATGAGTCTTACTAGAACAAGGAAAGCGAGAGACTTATCTTATTACACCTAGCATTGTAAAACTCCGACTTTCAGGTGGCATACTCACACTGGACTCAGGTATGGAGTCCAGATGTAATAATTTTTCATATGCAAGCCTTTAAACTACAAACTTTTTGGTTGAATGACTCAACGCTCAACCAATATGCTAAGGTGGCTTATGTCCCCCATGTTGTCTATTTTTTACTCTCTCAAAGCTCTTAGTATGTCTTTGACTGTGATCAAAAATTGTGTTTGACTATAGCTATAACACTTCATTGTCTCTCTTCTCTCCTTACATCAAAAAATTCATCTTTTTTTCTCTTATCATTAAAAAACCTTAAAAAACCTCTCTATGTCTTTAACACTTCATGACCTTTAACCATCATTGATCGTTGTGAATATGGAAAATTCCATACTTTTTCTCTTCTTTGTTTTATTCATTCCTTTCACCTCACTTTTGGGAGTAAGATCATTACATTTTCCTTGAAATAATAGAGACAACCATTAATGTTGAGAAATTAGGGTGAAGAAAAACAGAAATCGACACAAATCAAGAAAAACACAAAGAGATTTAAAGATGTTCGGTAAGGATGTCTACGTCCTCGAGAGCAGAGCGGAGACTTCCTTCCAATATTTAGAAAAGAGATTACAGAATTTGGGATACCTTCTGGGGTTACAAACAAACATTTTTATAACTTCAGGAGTAAACTCTAAGTACAATATGTAATTACAACGTTATCTCTGTACCGTAATGCGGGGCGTTGCCCCCGCATCCCCAACCAACATAACGTAACTTCCCGATTTGGACAGATTCTTCCGCTTCGCTCTACTCTGCTTCGTTCCAGCGTCTGTCCCTATATGGTATATGAGTTATACCATAACAAATCTCTACCTTGGCAAATATTCAACCCTTTTAGGAGAACGGATACATAGGAGTTACGCCTGCACCAATGTGGGTTGGACCACCGTGTTTCTCTAGCAACTGCAGACATTCAACAAGTCCAAGCAATGCAAGAACTTGTTGATAGTAACTGGCTTGGTCAACATATCAGCTGCATTTTCATTCGTATGAACCTTCTACAACAGTATCTCACCAGAAGCAATCAATTCTCTGATCTTATGATACCTGACATCAATGTGCTTGGTTCTCGCATTGTTCACCTGGTTTTTAGTCAGGTAAATAGCACTCTGACTGTCACAATGTAAATAAACTCTACCTTGCTCAATGCTCAGTTTCTTTACTAGCCCAACAAGTCATAAGACTTCTTTAGTAACTTCAACTACTGTCATGTACTCAGCTTCAGTTGTAGATAATGCCACAATAGACTGAATTGTTGATTTCCAACATATAGGTCATCCACCAAGAGTAAACACATACCCAGTCGTAGACCTTCTGTCATTCAAATCACCTACATAGTATGAATCAACATACCCCACAACTGAAGGATCATTCTGCTGACTACCAAAAATAATTTAATGTCCTACAATACCCTTCAGATACCTAAAAATCTACTTGACTGCTTCCCAATGGCGCCTTCCAGGTTTAGTCATGTATTTGTAGACTTTCATGTATTTGTAGACTTGACTACTAACAGCATGAGCCAAATCAGAATGAGTACATATCATTGCATGCATCAAGTAGCCAACTGAACTGGCATATGGAACATTTGTCATATCTTCGATTTCTGTATCTGTCTTAGGACACTGTTCTGAAGAAAGCTTAAAAGACACTGAAGCTTAAAATGATTTGTCTGATTTGTCAAAGGAGTGCTTACAGGTTTTGTTTTGCTCATCTCAAACATGTCCAACACTATCTCAATATAGCCTCGTTGAGATAGACATAATTGTTCAGAGTCTCTGTCTCGATGAATCTCCATTTCAAGAATCTTCTTCGAATGACCCAAATCTTTCATGTCAAATTTCTGGCTCAATAAAGCTTTCAAACCACAGACATCATTCATATTTTTTGCAACAATCAGTATGTCATCAACATACAGTAACAGAAAAATAATAGAACGATCATGAAGGCTCTTCACATAAACATAACAATTATACTCACATCTCTTGTAGCCAATCTGAATCATGTAGGAGTCAAACCGCTTGTAACTTTGTCTTGGAGACTGTTTCAACCCATACAACAATTTCTTTAACCAACAAAACAGATGCTCTTGTCCAGGTTGAGTGAACCCTTTTGGTTACTTCATGTAAATATGCTCCTCCATATCACCATGCATGAAAGCATTTTTAATATCCATCTGCTCTAAATGCAAATCTCAAATGGTTACTAAGGCAAGCATTGCCTTGATTGAAGTATGTCTGACTACAAGAGAAAAGATCTCATCATAATCTATCCTCTTATGCTGTGAAAATCTATTTGCTTCCAGTCGAGCCTTGAACTTTTTACCTTCTTTTTTTTGATATTGTTGGTTTTCTTTTGTACACCCACCTGCACCCAACAACCTTTTTTCCCTCAGGAAGCTGAACTAGCTCCCATATGCTATTTTTCTGCAAATACTTCATCTCCTCAACCATTGCACCCATCTATTTCTCTTTCTTTGGCTAGTGATAGCTTCTTGAAAAGTGGATGGATCATCGCTGCTGATGAGAAGTGCACAAGAGACTAATTCTTCATAACTCAATCTGCTAGGAGGTCTTATATTGGTGCGTCTCTGTCTGTCTCTAACTAGATTATAATTTTGCAGATCATTTAGAATGAAATCACCAGGTGTTGGATTTGAACCTTCAACTCTCTCAGTTGTTTCTGGATGTTGTTTTAAATTCATATGCACTGCATCTGAACTGGAATTGTTCCCATGCACATTGTCTTGATTCTGCAGTAACATGGACTGTTCATCAAAAACTGTATCTCTGCTGATCACCATCTTCTTTGCAATCAAATCTCAAAACTTGTATCCTTTCACACCTTTCTTGTAGCCCAGAAGATGCACATTTTGGATTTTACATCAAGCTTTGATCTTTCATCTCCAAATACATGCACATAAGCAGGACAACCAAAAATTCGTAAATGATCAAAATTAACTGGATTGTCTGTCCATACCTCTTCTGCGACCTTGCCACCCAACGATGCCTGAGGTGATTTATCTATGAGATAACATGTCATATTCACAGTCTTTGCCCAAAAACTCTTAGGAAGCCCTGCATTCAGTCTCAAGCATCTTGCACTTTCAATTAAAGACTTGTTCATCATTTCTGTCACACCATTCTGCTGTGGTGTCTTGCGCACTGAAAAATGCATATGAATCCCATGCTCCTCACAGAACTTCTGAAACTGTGAATTTGTGTACTGTGTCATTATTAGATCTCAAATACTTGATTTTTATGTCAGTTTGGTTCTCCACCTCAACTTTTCACAGCTTAAATTTAGAGAAGATTTTAGATTTCTACTTCAAGAAATACACCCAAACTTTCCTGGAAAAATCATCAATAAAGGTAACAAAATATTGAGATCCTCCCAGTGACGATTCCTTGGTAGGGCCCCATACATCAGAATGTACATAATCAAGAATACCTTCAATTTTATGTTTTTCAGTCATAAAACTGACTCTAGTCTGTTTTCCAAGAACGCAGAACTTACAAAGATTGAACTTGCAGCTTTTAACACCATGCAATAGATTTCTTCTATGCAATTCTGTCATTCCATGTTCATTGAGATGACCCGAACGCATATGTCATAACTTTGTACTATCATCATCTGACTCCACAGAATGAACTCAATATACAATTATACTTCCCAATAGTTTGTAGATATTACTTGTAGCCAACTTTACTTTTATCACAGTCAGAGCACCCTTAACAATTCTGATGGTTTCTCTATCCTCATATGTCTTAGGAATAAAACCATATCTGTGAGAGTGCCCAAGAAAATCAAATTCTTCTTCAGATCTGGAATATGTCTGACATCACATAATGTTCTAACTGTGTCATCATACATCTTAATTCTGACTTCTCCAAATACTAATAATATTGCAGCATCTATCATCACCTAGATAATTTGAGCCAGAATTAATTGACCTGTATGAAGTAAATCACTCTCTGTTAGGTGTTATATGATAAGAGCATCCTGCATCAAGAATTCATGCATCTGTGAACTGAGTTGATGAAATTGAAAGCATATCACCATCACTGCAATCTGAATTGTCACTTTGCACCACATTTACAGTCTTCGATGATTAAGGCTATAAATAAGGCTATAAACGAGCCGATCTTGAGCGAGCTCAGGCTTGGCTCGTGTTCGGCTCGGACTCGGTTGAAATTACTCGTGTTCGAAATCGGTTCATGTTTGAAATTGACTCGTGAACAGTGTGTTCGTGTTCGACTTGATTTAAATATTTGTGTTCGTGTTTGGCTCAAAATTGGCTTATTAAAATTAAATTGAAAAAATAGATGTAGACTGCTGTATTCGAACCTGGAGCAAATGTATGCAAATTTAACCACATTACCACAAGAGCAATTATAATTTACACTTAGATATAAATATATATAATATATTATTATATAAATAATATATGTAATATATTTTTGTATAAATAATTATATATATATATATTATTTCGAGCTAAAACGAGCCAAACACAAACGAACAAATAGTTGTTCGTGTTCGACTCGTTTATATCGTTAACTTATATGATCAATCACCTTTCTCCCCAGTCTGCTTCTTAAGCTTTGGGGCTACTTAACGAGCTAAAAACGAGCTGTTCGCGAACAACGAGCTTTTTTGACAGCCTTATCGATGATCAATCACCTTTCTCCCCAGTCTGCTTCTTAAGCTTTGGGCAATCTCTCTTTATATGACCTGGCTTCTTAGAATTGTAGCAATGAATTATTTTTTTATCTTTCAACTTGGATCTGGAATTTCGTCTTCTATAACCCTCCTTCTCTTTCTTCTTTCCACGATTCTGCCTACCCTTAACATATAAATTATCGCCATCAGAGCTTTCCCCAGCATTCTGCTTCCGCTGGTTGGGAGCAAACAATGCTGCAGTAATCTCATCAACTGATAGTTTCTTTCTCATATGTAAGAGTAATCATCATGTGTTCATAGGAAGAAGACAATGAATACAACAAAATCATCGCTCGATCTTCATCCTTAATATTCACATCAAGCCGTAACAGGTCTGCGATTATTTGATTAAAGCCATTAACACGTTGCGCCAGATCAGAACATTTTTGTATTTTCAGCCCATACAACTTTTCCTTCAGATATAATTTATTCATCAGAGATTTAACCATAAACCGAGTGTCCAATTTCTTCAACACCTCCCCTGGAGATTTTAGATTCACACGTGATACATAATTTCATCTGTCAGGCATAAGCGTATAGTTGCTGCTGCTCGTTGTTTAATTCTTCTCAAACTTCATCCTTCATGACATCTGGTTTTGTTACCCGTAAAACTTTCAAAATTCTCTGTTGAGCCAACATATCTTTTACTCTTGTTTGTCACAATCCAAAGTTACCAGTTCCATCAAACTTCACCACCTCAAATTTTGCACCAGAAGTTGTCATTTTAAATTGATCATGCAACAAATTATTCTGCAAATCCTTGCTCAGAATCTTTTGAAAAAGAAAATGAAGGATTGAAAAATTCCCTTAATTAAGTTGCCTTAATTAAGTTTTCCGGAGAAATAATATAATTTTTTTTTGAAAATAAAAGATTGAGATATTTCCTTAATTATTCCTCATTAATTAAAATATTTTCTTTAATTAATTGAATTTCAAAAACTTTCATTTTTCCCTAGAACCTGACTTTGATACCACTTGTTGAGAAATTAGGGCGAAAAAAAACAAAAATTGACACAAATCTAGAAAACACAAAGAGATTTAACGAGGTTCGACAAAGATGCCTACGTCCTCGGGAGCAGAACGGAAAGTTCCTTTCAATATTCAGAAAAAAGATTACAAAATTTAGGATACCTCCTGGGGTTACAAACAGAAATATTTATACCTCGAGGAGTAAACCCTAAGTACAATATGTAATTACAACATTACCCATGTATCGTACCACGGGGCGTTACCCCCGCACCCCCAACCCACATAACTTAACTTTCCGATTTGGACAGATCTTCTGCTCCGCTCTGCTCCGCTTCATTCCAGCGTCTGTCCCTGTCTAATATATGAGTCATACCATAACAATTAAATATTGTATCCTCTAACATGCAATTGCAATAATGTATTACCAACTGAAAATAAAATGTTTAGTTCTTAAAGTGCTGAAAGGAGAGATTTTTTATTTTCCTTTTTCTTCATTAAGGAAGAGTAGAGGTTTTTCTTTTTGGAAGATGATCTTTCTTCTAGAGTTATGCTTCTCACATTTGCCAAATAAATTGTTTGTATATCCTCATTTTATATTATTATTCTGTAACATCCACTCAAGTGATAACCTAATAACCTGCCTAAATCATTATTTAATATAAGATGTGCTTAAATTTTAATATATTTAAGCAAAGTATTAATCCTAATTAATTTAAATATAATATTAATTGGTCCTATATTATAATTGTGTGAACTATGACATAAGTATGTCGACTAAATTAAGAAAATTAGATGTAAAAAAAAAAGTTTACTGCAAATTTATATTTGAAGCCCTTAAACTTAGAATCGAGCAAAATTATCAATATAAAATATGTTCAAAATTTTGTAATATATATAAGAATTTAAATTTAAAGAACAAATGAAAATTATATGTCTAAAACACTATGAGATAATCGTCAAGTCTATATTTAAAATTTTACATTAATTTTTAGGTATGATAATGTAAATTTAAATAATGTATATTGATTTAAAAAAAATAAAGTATAAATTACTACTTTTATAATTATCCAATACCTTGATTAATTCTTGGCTAAGAAAAAGAGGGTTTGACTTATGACATCCACAAACTTCACGGCAGTGAGATTCTCTGAAACCCTTATATTTTTTTTTTCCTTAGCCAATCCTAAGAATAGTTTTTGTTAGATGTTGTAGGTTTCTTCGTTCACACGAGATAGATCTGACCATCCACCCAGTATCGTCCGAGTCAACCGATGATCAGTTATCGGACATCTGATGGGCCGAATGGTAATGGCGACTCAACCATATGCCTTTTGATTTGCCAGCATTGTGGTGTCACTGTGGGTTTTGGTCGCCACTCTAAGCAAGTTGACTGGCTGACACTAGTCAGCATGTCCATACACTTATTGAATGCTCAGTTATGTCTTAGAGAAAGCCCTAGGTTAGGACTTTACGTTCATGGTCAAATCTCTAGCGAAGCCAGGAGTATTTCTTGGAAGTCTTGGCTTTAATCCTAGTATGTCGGAATCCCAATTTCCTACAACTTTGATGCTTCTAACCTTCCTTGGATTGGTTAAAATAGTTTGAACTTGAAGAATGGGGAAATCTTTGTAGCTATCTCATTCTACAAGATCCTTGAGGGGTTGTAGGATGAAAAAGGCTTTGTAGCTAGCCTGTCCTACAAACGGTAAATGATTTCTCATAGGAGAAATCAGAGGATGCGGTTCTCTACATTCCTCACCAAAGCCAGAGGTGGCCATGTTGCATATCAAAGAGCTAAAACCCTAGGCACCTATGTGAGAGCATTAGTTGAGTTTGACTCGGTATTGATTATGATTAGCCGCATCTTGCACATTGTATTTCATGTTTATATGCTCGTGGGTTTGGTCATCTACGCGAGGCAGGTATTATCGGTTGTCCGACTTCGTCCGACTCAGTTGATCATCTATCACTAGAGATTCAATTGTTCGAACGATACTGGTTGGCCCAATCACACACATATTGATTGGCCAATCATGTGTGTGATTTATATGTTGCAAGTCACGTGTTACACTTTGCCTCGATTGGCCGCCCCCGACCCGGTCAGTATTACACCTTGTTTCAATTGGCCACTCCGACCTAGTCGACACCACACTTTTCCTCGAACGGTAGCCTTGACCAAGCTGATACTACATTTTGCCTCGATCGTCCGCCTCAACCGGGTCAATATTACACCTTGGCTCAATCGGCCTCCCCGTCCCGGTCGACATTACACCTTGCTCGGCTGACCGCCCGACTTAGTTGAAATTACACCTTGCCTCGATCGACCTCCCAGATCTGATTTGCAGATCATTGTGGTCTGACCAGCCACCCTGGACCGATCAACAAATCACTTTGGTCCGACCAGTCGCCTTAAACTGGTCGACCAATCACCTTGGCCCAGTCGACCACCTTAGCTTGACTGAGTCCATTGGCTATGTTGCCCCAGGTGGACCACCCCAGTCGACCCACCGGGTCGAACAACCAACTTCGCTTGCATAGTTTGTTTTTTGCATGTCCATTAGTGTTGCTTGCATGATATCTTGCATAATCATTATCACATGCTTGAGTTATATTTTGAGTGCTCATTTATATACTCAACCCACTTGTATGATTCTCCCCGGTGAGGATTATTGTTCCCTTGAGTCAGTGCGCCTTGTGATGCATCCATTCTTTGCAATGCATTCACATAGATTGTAGTTAGTAGCTGCAGTAGCAATTAGCCATATATGCCTTACAAATAAGCCATTGTTGCTAGCTCGGTAGCGTCAATTGACCAAAAAGATCATAGCTGCAAGCTTTAATAATTGTTAGTCATAGTTGCGTTATTTGGGTCTGAAACATTTCTTGCACAAAAAAAAAAAATAACTATGAAGATTCATGCTAAATGATAAAATTTTGTTGATGACACATCAAATATCATTATTATTAAATTAAAAAAAAAGTAAAATCATACATAAGTAGAGTGATTTAAACATAAATAAAATAAATTAAAATTAAGCTATTAGATATATAAATACATAATAGTTAAAATAAAATATAGGTATTATAAACATAAATACATAATGATGGTAAGGAACGTATGTAAACAAATAAATAATTAAAAAAAAAACTTACATGGCTCGGCCTTACCGAACTCCTCAACAAACACTAAACGTAGCCTAATGAGTGATGGGAATTCATCTTACCTCTTCCCAACTTTCAGGATCCTAACACGTGGCAATCTTCCAACGGTCGGCTTATCTCCTCTTCTCCCCTCTGCCCATTTCAATGAAATCAAACTGCACCTTAACCACCCCACATCCCTTCTACCCGCCGCCCTCACTCTCCGAACATGGAGACCGGAGTCACCAGCTACGCCGGCAGCGCTATCCCCCACACCGTTCTCTCTCGCCATCGTACCACCACTCCCTCCTGGTTTCCATCGCAGCAGCGTTCCCACAGAAAAAGCGTCGGTACTTTTTCAAACCAAACATTCACTCAGTAATCCTCATTAGCTTAAACAAAATTTTTTTCATCACAGAGCCTTAAAGCTGCCACCTTTTTCGGCGAATCACTGAGAGTAGAATCCAAGTTCATTTCAAGAACGGAAAAAAGAAACTCTTTCTCAACGAAGTGTGAGATTGGAGATAGCTTGGTAAAGTCCTTTACCCCAAAAGTTGCTAGCTTTCTTTCTGTCAACCATGGTTGAATATTTAAGTTGTAGAAATTTGCATATTTTTGTGAATTGCAGGAAGAGTTCTTGAACAAAGCAACGCCAGATAAGAGCCTCATAAGGCTGCTTGTTTCTATGGGAGAAGCATTGAGGACAATCTCCTTCAAGGTGAGGACTGCTTCCTGTGGAGGAACGGCATGTGTGAATTCTTTTGGTGACGAGCAACTTGCAGTCGATGTGCTTGCTGACAAGCTTCTCTTTGAGGTTTCAGTCTTCTATGTTTTTTATTTGATTCTTGGCTTTCTAGCTTTACGGTTCAGGAACTGGAGTTTTTCAATTTTCTGCAGTCTTTGAGGTACTCCCATGTTTGTAAGTATGCTTGCTCTGAGGAACTTCCTGATTTGCAAGACATGGATGGGCCAGCTGAAGGTATGTATCATTAGCTAAACGGAGTTGATTCATTGTAGAGGAATTTTGATGTCGATCAAGGAAAATTAGTTCTTCTGATTAAAGTTTTCTGCTGAGGGGATGTTCATTTGGATGAATTTACTAATTTTGTTTGGCCATATGCTTTATTGCTAATCAACCCTGGCCTTAGTTTATGATTAATTCATTGTATTTGTCATGCTGCTAAGCTTCATTTGGTTAAGCTTTTCGTTCAATATTACTTTTTGAAACTTCATGTATCATACATATTTTAGTTGTATGAAGAACTTGCAACATGAGTTTGATTGGGAATGCTTGAATGAGTAGCACATTGGTTGGAAACAGAGTAAAGCATCCCCAGGTGCTAGGTTCAAGCGCTCGCTCTGCTCAAAAAAAAAAAAAAAAAGGCTTTGTTCAGAAAAAAAAAAAAAAAAGATATCTTAGAGTTGCAAATGAACTGAGCCGAGTTGAGTAGGAAGTTATGCTAGCTTGAGCTTATCTCGTTTACCAAAAACTTATTCAGGTTCGGCTTGAGCTCGATTTGAGATTTTGTGATAGTATTCCATTTACCAAAGGCATATTCGAGTAAGCTCTACTCGAGCTTGTTCATGTTATGATTAATGAGCTTAAAATGTGAAGCTCTTGAAAAAGTAAATGAGCCTTATTGAGCCGAACTTTTTAAAAAATAAGACTTGAATTGAATATGCTTAATAAATTCGGCTTAGTACCTTATAAGCCGAGCTTGTGCATATCACTTCTCTAGGGGATGCCTTTTTGAATCAGGCCTTAATTAAGCTTTATATCGAGCCTTAATTGGGCTTCTTAAAGTGCTTGTTCCAGAACTATAAATAATATGTTCATGATCATAATGGAAATGAGGAATTAGCTATTCGAGTTTGTTCTTATAACAATCAATCATTTATAAAAGTATTCAAATTTGTTCTATTAGTTAATTAAACAATCATGAATGAACTCTAATTAACCCAAATCAAAAGTAACTTGTTGAACGCTGCCCTGTTTGGGTTCACTTTCCATTTTTTGTTTTTTGTTTTGTTTTTGTTTTATGTTTTTAAAAAATAAGTTTGGTACTATTATGATTTTTTTGTTATGTATTTTAAATCGACATTCAAATTACCTAGTTGTTTTGTATCTACATATATGTCACTTAAACTTCACTCTTTACATTTATACCACCCTAATCTTTCTTATCACACGTTCATCTTAGCATTCTCAACATTTATCCATAAATGAACTAAATATAATGTTTGGTTTCAAATATATAAACACTATAAGACAATAGAGTACAGCAGCAACAATCCTTTATCCCACTAAGTGAGGTTGGCTACATGAATCCTTTTCTTCGTTGTGTCCTATTGAGTGTCATATTTTCATTTACTTATAACAAATTAAGATCATTTATAATACAACCTGCCCATGTCTTTTTAGGCCTACCTCTATCTATCTGAACATGAGTTGAATCTAAAACATCTACTCTCCTAACAAAATCATTAGTTGGTTGACGTTTAATGTGATCAAATTATCTAAGACAACTCTCTCTAATTTTGTCTGTCAATGGAGCTGCACCAACCCTTTCAAAGATATATTCATTTGTCTCTAAATATAAAGCCACTAACCCACATAAGCTTGCTCATCTCAGCAACACTTAACTTAGATTTATGCTTCTATTATATAGGCTTACATTATTTTCCATAGAACATTACAGGCCTCATTGCCATCTTATAAAATTTTCCTTCAAGTCTAAGATGTACTTTTCTATCAAACAATAGGCCCAATGTATCCTCACTTCAACCATCCAACTTGAATTCTACAAGTAATATCTCCATCTATATCTTCATCACTTTGAACAATAGACCTGAGATATCTAAAACGTTCACCCCTCATTATACGATCACCTGTTTTTACAACACCGCCACTGGATCTATTATTATTGAAATTACATTCCATATATTCAGTGTTAGATCTACTCAAACGAAGGTCTTTAAACTCTAAAGATGGCCTCCATAATTCATGTTTTTCCTTCAAGTCTAAGCTGAAAACATACACCAAGATAACATACTTCTGGAAATGTCTAGTAAGAGCATTCATAACCAAAGCAAAAAGCCATGGGCTTAAAGCCAATCCCTATTGTAATCCAATTGAAATAGGAAAATACTTAGTCAATCTTCTTTGTTTGAGCACAAATATGTTTGAGCACAAGTATAAGAGAATGGAGTGTTTGTATAAAAATTTTACACCCCTTATATTAAGCCAAGTTCTTTCATCCTCTCCATTAAAATCATAATTACATGACCATGTAAAACTCACAATTTAAATGCTAGAAAGAAGGAACAAAATTACATGCTTCCTACCGCCCCTTTCAAGACCCCTTTAACTGATGCAAAAGCCTTCTATTGACTTCCTCTTTATATAAAAGCATAAATTAGAACCTTGAGCTCTCCTTAAATTAATGAGAGAAGCTTCATGCTGACTTCATATATTCAATAAATGCATATTGTTGTTAAAGATGTCCCGTGCTGTTAAAAGATCCATGATAAGGAAAAGATTGTTCGTATTAAATTTCCTTTCAAAAACTGACTTCAACCAAAAAAATCGAAGAAAGAATAAATTTCATAATGTTGAAGTAGGTCTAATGGGTGATGAAATATGAAATCAATATCTCAAAGAGCAGAGAATACCTTAACCTGATGTATGGATTTCAGTTTGTTTCAATCATGCCTTTAACTTAATCCATAGAAAGCAAAACCAGAACTAATCTTCTTTAATCCACTTAAACCACCACACCTTAACATTCCTACTTCCCATTCAAGCTAATCTAAACAGCATGAAGAAAACTTCACCGAGCTTCTCTTCTGCAACTCAGGTGGTTTTAGCGTCGCTTTCGATCCCCTCGACGGCTCCAGTATTGTCGACACCAACTTTACAGTCGGCACGATCTTCGGCATCTGGCCTGGAGATAAACTGACAGGTGTAACAGGAAGAGACCAGGTTGCTGCTGCCATGGGGATATACGGACCTCGAACAACTTATATTATTGCTGTGAAAGACATTCCTGGTACTCATGAGTTCCTTCTCCTTGATGAAGGTATTCTTCTTCAACACTCTTTGGATATGAGAGGTTATATTGGTTTATTATGAGTTCAGAAATTTGATTTTATTGATCTGTGAAGGTAAATGGCAGCATGTTAAGGACACTACATCGATTGGTGAGGGAAAGATTTTCTCTCCAGGAAATCTGAGGGCTACTTTTGATAATCCAGACTATGATAAGGCATTCTTTTCTTAAATCATTAAATGGGCCTTTTACATATATACCAGACAATTCTTTTGGATTTACATGTCTCACACATAAACTTTCATATTCACATACATTACACTTTGGTGTTTTAAACTTTGCATGAAAGGTGATATTAAAAAATGATAATAGCGCTATTTATTGATGTGATACTAAAAATTCAAGTGCTTTGTGTGTAAATATGAAAGTATAGGTGTACTTTGCGCTATGTACGTGCATACCTCTTTTTTATGTAAATGCATGAGAACTTTGTTTTATGCATGTAAATGCCCCTAAAAAAAAGGGGCTTTTACATCATACTACACAAGTCTTATGTATTTATATAACACCTAAATATTTCACATGCATACTACTCAAATCCTTAGAATCATATAAAATAATATCATTATCACCATCTTTGTAAAAAATATACACCTTTCCATGTATAGGTTTATGCACCAAGATGTTATAAGTGTAAATATCAAACTTTGGGTGTTAGATATGTAAATACATAAAAATTGTTTGGTATCTATGTAAATTATTCAAATAAAAGATTTTTGTATGAAGATGTAATAAGGGTTTGAACTAACTGATGAACAATATAACCATGCAGTTGATCAAGTACTATCTAAGAGAGAAGTACACACTGCGCTACACTGGTGGAATGGTTCCAGATGTCAACCAGGTAAATATTTACTCTTCTTTACAAATTCATACTTTGCTATTTTTGTTTGGGGCAGCTTTCTGGCTGATTTTATGGTAAGAAAAGTAGTGGGTGGAAAAAATAGTGTTTTTTTGCATATAGACTTGAGCTTTTAGGTTAACATATTACAATAATTCAACAGTATTGTTAGAGTTTGAGACATATCACTAAACATGGATTGAAAAGTTTGCATTGCGACATATTACATACACACATTCCTTAAATTACATAAGAAAGTATTATTAAATTTTACTAATTATATAAATAAATTTCAAATTCTAATGTGGGCAATTGCCCACCCTAAATATTATCTGGTTTTGCCCTTCATTTGTATTATTCAAATCTTTCATATCACCTAAACGATACTATGATTTAACTTTTAAAATGAACATATCATTTCATGCATGGGTAAAGTAACACATATGTAAAATCTAAAATTTATGTGATAGATATGTAAATACATAAGGAATTGGGTGATATGCATGTAAATCTTCCTATATATGTGTGTGTTTTCACTAGCATTTGGAATGATATATGGCCTATCAGTCACAACTTCACACTTTTTTTCATTCGATATATCCGTAATTTTTCTCATTGATATTTTTCAATTAATTTTGCATCTCTTTTAGGAGGTGTTTGATAGCATACTATTAATAGGGTTTAGCCATAGATTCAACTTAAATCGAGCCAAACACTAAAGAAAATAAAAATTAAATCTAATGCTCCGTTAAATCAATTTTTTCCTCATTCCAACCCTTTTTTTCTCGCCTTCCATTAGTATTACAACATAAATATGGATTTAATAAATCCGACTGCGAGATAGATTATTCCATCGTCCCTTGCAAGCTCTTCTATTGCAGACTGAATTTGATGAATCCTAATTAACTTAAATCTAAGAAGCAGCCAATCATCGCCATAATTTGTCTCTGTGGTTTGTCTCCAAGTTAGAATTCCATTGTTTTATTGTGCTTGCAGATCATAGTGAAGGAGAAGGGTATCTTCACAAATGTTTCATCTGCGAGCGCCAAAGCTAAATTAAGACTCTTGTTCGAAGTTGCCCCGTTGGGCTTTCTGATAGAGAAAGCTGGAGGATACAGCAGCGATGGCTTTCGCTCTGTGCTGGACAGGGTGATCACCACTCTTGATGAGAGGACTCAGGTTGCGTATGGATCCAAGAATGAGATCATTAGATTTGAAGAAACTCTGTATGGGTCTTCCAGGCTTAAAGCTGGGGAGCCTGTAGGCGCAGCAGCCTAAAAACCTGAGCTTTTAATAACTTCCATGGATCTGCATATCAACACTACTTGAAGTCATATTTATGTTGATGTTTATGTCTGTCCATTTTTAAGTTTCACAGTGCAATTTGTTCCGTTTATAGGAAGACAGTTTCTAAGGGTGGGCCTTGTGTTGAGAAATTATGGCAAAGAAACACAAGAATCAAGAACCAAACAATCAAGATCAAATACAGGGATTTAATGAGGTTGGGCAAGACGCCTACGTCCTCGGGGGTGAATAGCGGCAGTGATTTTTTTTGATTTCACGAAAAAAAGTAAATCTCCTTAGGGTTGCAAATACAACCTATATATATAACAATAGTGTACAACATGTAATTACAGAATTACTCTTATATCGTACAACTAGGGCTTTTCCCCGTACCCTCAACCTACTTAATGAAACTGCCCCCGATTGGACAGATGATTCAGCTCCACTTTGCTCACGAGCTCCGCTCTGCTCGCTCGCTCAGTTCCGCTCCAGCATCTGTCTCTAATTTGGTATATGAGCCATACCTAAAACCTTGGGTTAGCTTTGGATGGATTGGTTTTTAAATTGTATTGGAAACCTAAGACTAAACTAATCAAACTTTGATAAAACCAAGCCGACTGAATCGGCTCTAGGTTGGTTTGAACGGTTCGGCTATGGAGGTTATGCATAAACATTAAGAATTATATATATTATATGTATAGTATTGATTTAATATTATGAATCCTCTGTTAATCTCAAAATTTTTTTTAGATTTTTCTTCAAAATTCATTACTTGAAGACAATATCTAAGGGTGAGAATTGAATATTGGGGTTTTCAAAATCAAAAAATCTTTTTTTTTTTTGAGAAGGAACCGAAGCGACTGATAGTTTTGTTCAGTTTGAGGAATTAAGAATGAATACTTTGTAGGAGATATAATCTACAAGCAGAAGAAATCATTGAGCATGTTTGGCACTTATGAGTATAATAATGGTGCAAAAGAAGCTAGCCTTTATTAAAAGTAGGTAATTCATGTCTATAATGTTATCCAGACAGCTAAAAGCAAAGAACGCACCTTCACATATAATATAGAAAATGTTACTGGGGAGTGATGCAGAGATTTTGACCATGAACTTGAAATATGAAAATCTGGAACTTGATATTATTGGTTTCTTACTCCATATGCAACTCAAACAAATTATCATTAGGATAAAAATAAATCTATAACTACGAACAAAATTTTGATATGTACCATTAATGATTTAAGTAATTCTAATGTATTGTGATAATCTAATGTCAAAATTTTGATATGAACTATTAATGATTTCAGATGTAGAGTAAATATCAAATTTTAGATGTTAATTTTTTGAGAATATGAAAATCGGTCCACTGTTCAAATTGACATTTTCTCATGTTTGCAAATTGGATTTGTTACTCGAAATTAATTGCTAAATTAATTGCTCTTAATTCCTACTATGATTTGCTGCATAAGAGAAAAAGAAATGATTAATGAGTTTCCTTAATTATTTAATTAATTTCTTATTGGGCCTAATGACATGATGAAATTAATAAATAGACATGCTAGCTCCCCTTGTGATCTCTCTCGGGATTTGGTTTCCCAGACTTTCTCTTCGGCATTGGTAGCTTTTCAGGTTCTTCTTCTGGCGTGCCTCGGTTTGAAGCCCTCAAGATTTGGTTTCCTAGGCTTCCTCTTCGACATTAGTAGCTTTCCAGATTCTTCTTCTGGCGTGCTTCAGTTTGAAGCTCTCGGGTAGAGAGAGAGAGAGAAGAAGAGGATGAAAGGAGAGAGAAAGAGTGTTTTCTTGTAATCATCGAGGTGATCGACAGGTTTTATTCCTCAAGCTAACAAAATCCTATGCAGCTCCGTTGACGTAGGCAATTTTTCGAACCACGTAAATCTGTGTATTTCCGCTGTGTTTTCTATTTTACGTTCTTTCTCGATCAGATTTTTCGCTTTATTGTCGTCGTTTTTCACAACAACTGGTATCAGAGCCGTGGTTTCAGATCTAAGGAAGAATGATAGGTGGAGTCGAAGTGATAGTATCGAGGCTCGAGAAGTTCAATGACACAGATTTTGGTTACTGGAGGATGCACATAGAGGACTACCTCTATGGAAACAAAACATCATCTTCCGTTTTGGGAAAGCAACCAAAAAAGATGGATTTTCTGCCAAGGAATCAGACTTGGGAGCTGATAAAACTTCCACCAGGGAAGAGGCATTGCACAACAAGTATGTGTACCGGGCGAAGATTGCGCTTGATGACAGTAAGAGACACAAGACTAGACTTGTTGAAAAGGGCTTTTAGCAGAGGGAGAATATTGCCCATGCAGTGGGAGTTGTAAGCAAAAACATGAGTAACCCGAGAAAAAAGCTTGGAGGTACAAGATTATGTTGACGCTGATATGTCGACTAAGGGTGTTACTCTTGAGAAACTGAAGTTGTGCTCGACTTCAGCTGGTCTTCTGGCATGAAGACCTGGGCTTTGAGTTGCAGAGTTTTAGGATATCACGTTTGAAGAAAAAGGCAACACAGCTAGCGGATGATGTCGCCAGTGTACCAGTCTCCAAGTGGGAAGTTTGTTTTGAATATGGAAACCAATCTACTGTTCAAATTGGCATTCTCATGTTTGGTAGCAAATTGAATTGTTAAATTAATTGTCATTCTCATGTTTGGTCTACTGTTAAATTAATTGCTCTTAATTCCTTCTATGATTTGCTGCAGAAGAGAAAAGAAAATAATTAATGAGTTTCATTACTTATTTGATTAATTTCTTATTGGGCCTAATGACATGATGAATTTAATAAATAGGCATGCTAGCTCCCCTTGCGATCTCTCTTAGGATTTGGTTTCACAGTCTTCCTCTTCGGCATTGGTAGCTTTCTAGGTTCTTCTTCTGGTGTGCTTCAGTTTGAAGCTCTCGGGATTTGGTTTCGTAGGCTTCCTCTTCGGCATTAGTAGTTTTCCAAGATCATCTTCTGGCGTGCTTCGGTTTGAAGCTCTCGGGTAGAGAGAGAGAAGAAGAAGATGAAAGGAGAGAGAAAGAGTGCTTTCTTTTAATCGTTGAGGTGATCGACGGAGGTTATTCCTCATGCTAATAAAATCCTCCGTAGCTCCGTTTACGTAAGCAATTTGTGGAACAACGTAAATATGTATATTTCCGCTGTGTTTTCTATTTTGCGATCTTTCTCGATCCGATTTTTTCGCTTTATTAGCGTTGTTTTTCACAACAAAGACGTATGTAAACATAGAAGAATTATGTGGTATTTATGTAAATGCCCTTTATTAATATTGCCATTAAGCATGCTCCAAGAAAGTATAAAGTGCACCTTGTTAATGTTATCATTGATGATTATGTTAAATTGGGGTTGTTCTCTGGTCTGATTATGATGAGTTTTGTGTAGGGTAGGCCAACTGGGGATGGTTATGTCTTGAGCTCAAGGTAATCCAAACTACCTAAGATTTGTCTAGGTTTAATTTACTTTGTAGACTACTTAGTTTGATTTTAGGTTCAATTTAGGATTAATTAGGGTTATTATTGAACCACGTTTAATTTCATATAAGCTCAATGCAATTTAGCTGCAGTTTAGTCATGTTTCGCTACAGTTCAGGTGTGGTCAAGTCACTGTTCACAGTGTTGCGAATAAGTGCCTGACGTGGCCATGCACGAGGCCAAACGTTATTACGTCGGGCGCTCTATTTGGTCGGCATGGTCAGACGACCTTCAAGCATGGACATGCTGGCAGTAGACCATTTGGGGCATTTCTGGAAGGTTTGGCGTCGACATGCCTGGTTTAGGCGTGGTCATATCGTAGTTTGGGCATAGCCCCACCGGCCCTTAGGGAACTTTGACTTTCAGAAATGCTTGCCAAGGGGGTTCCAGATCTTGTGGGATCTCTGGAAGATCAAATAAGAGCAGGTCATGATCATTGGGCCTCCGTAGGGATCGTAGATAAGTTTAAAAATGTTTGAGAAGATGAACCGTATACGTGTCGCCGAGTAAAGCAACTTCCTCATGGAAATTCGTCTATTCGGACCTTAGGCTTATGGTTTGAACATGATACGGGGTACACTTGTCGACGATTTGCATCATAGAAATGTGTGTATTAGCGGGATCTAGCCCTGTTTCACAGGGGCAACCGTCAATCTAGAGGATATTGGAAGCAATGCCGGCTTGACCGTGATCAACATGGGGCACGACTAAGACAGTACAAACCCAATTATAGTGTCGATTAACGAGGATGTCCCGTGTATGTCACATCAAAAATAGATACCAACAACGATCAATGTTTAATAAATTTTGCTTGGAGGCTTAATTGCAACATAAATACATGACCAATATTTAATATGATCAATTACATATTTCGCATATGCTTCTAGTTTGAAGAAAAAAGAACAAATAATTATGATGTTTGTGCTAAAAGAAATATCTTTTATGATAATGAGGTAGAATTGAAGTTGAAATATCCATTATGATAATGAGAAGGCACAACACGCCATTTATGGTTATAGGTATCATTTGTTGAAGTTGAAGTAGCAAGGAGTGTGGTCGCATTCACTGAAAAGTTGAGGACCAGCTTCGCGGCCCATCTATGTGTGATGGAGTCTAGGCTGAAGGCAACAAAGCAAGCAGGGATGCTAGTCAAGAGGCTCAAAGCTATGATTGAGCATTTGAAGTGCGAGGCACATCGCCGTGGCATACGACTATTGATTGAGGCAGAGGTAGAGGAGGCTCGAGGACCACAAGTACAATTAAGTTTTTCTCTATGTATGTAGAAATTCATTTGTACTTTTTCATTATTTTACAAACACTCTTATATCAAATGATATGTTGAGATTTATTATTATATTTGTTATGATTTCTTTGGATATAATTGTCTCTATTTGTTCATTTATGTGGTTATGATATGTTATAGATATAGATGCTATTTCTTTCATTTTCTGATCACAGGTGTATAAAATATTTTCTTGGCTTGGTCCCCTTCATATTTTTTTGCTGTTGTACAATTTTCCATCTGAAAATACTTAAATTCAACAACCCGTGAAAGTATTCTGTGATAGACACATCTAAATTTAAAAACAAAGATAAATTCAACCAACCAAATACTTTTTATGCAAGTTAAATTTCTAATCA